ACAATTGATATTTGAGGCTAGAAAATTCTTTGGGGAGCAGCTCTGTGGCTCTACCAGTAGCTGGATGCTGATAGATAACCATCAGCAGCTCTCCCTCCCGGTTATGAAAGTCAAAATTGTCTCCAGACATAATTGTCCTTTTTTAGACAACAATTCCTAGGAAATTTTAATAAGTGGTCAAAAGAAATGCTAAGGAAAACAAAGTCTGGTGATTCAGCTTGTAAGTTCCCTGTGGTATTGTCTTACTTCCCAAACTGAAATTTCTCTGAGTCCTGTTCCACTACAGGGCAGTGGCCAGGGCTGGGACAGTGGGTCAGTGCTGTTCTCTGGTTGTTCATACTCGTGCATCTTTTAGATGGACTTCTAAGAGAAAAAAAATTGGGTTTTTTTTTTTTGTTTGTTTGCTTTTATGATTACTCCTCCCCAAAGGACATCAGGGTATTTATCTTTTTTTTCTTGAGGCAGAGTCTCACTATGTTGTCCTCAGTAGAGTGCTGTGGCATCACAGCTCACAGCAACCTCAAACTCCTGGGCTTACGCAATTCTCTTGCCTCAGCCTCCCAAGTAGGTGGGACTACAGGTGCCCACCACCATGCCCGGCTGTATCTTGAGCATTTTTCAGGTTATAATAATTCTCATTCTGAAAACTTGGCTTAAAAAAATTCCTCAAGTCTAATGATCGTAGGCCGAGTTAGAACCATGTAAGTCTTCTATATAATTGGTGTCAGAAAACACACAACAAAAGAGGCTGTAAATCGTGTCTGCCTGATGGTACTCACTCTTGCTCTTCTTCTGGTTAAAATGATTACTACAGTGACCACAAGTGCAGAACGGCAACTTATAGCATTTGAGATCTGGGTGTTTTTCAAGCAAATCTATTTCACAAGGTGACAATATAAATAGACCTTTTGAAAGGTCTAACCACTAAGAAATATGGCATTGCAGAGGGCTTTTCTAACTTTAGAGAAAGGTGTTTTATACTTATTTCATAGGAATATTGCCATTTGTGTTTTGCTTTAAATACAAATAGCCAATCCCTCATCAGAAAATCTCAGTTCGATTTTCACCCAATATCGAGTTCAGGGATTGGATTTATATTTCCATCTTCAAAAATAAAAAAATCTGGACAAATATACAAAAGAACAATTTCATGACATTGGGCACTCAGCAATGGAAGACATTGATGCC